CACAGTAAATTGCAAAGAAAACAGTACCAGAGGGCTTATATATCCTTGCTTGAGTTTCCTCCAGTGGTAACATCTTGCATGACTATGGTACAATATCAAAAGCAGGTAATTGGCAGGGGCAGAATATACAGAGTTTTATTTATTTTATTTTTTATTTCAGAGTGCCTCATTTTGACACATACTCCTCTTCACACTCACATACACATGCAATTTTATCACATATGTAGATTGATATAATCTCCAGCAGCATCAAGATACAGAATAGTTTTATCACAAGAACCCCTCATAAATCCTTTTGAACCACACCCACCTTCTCTCATTCTCCCATTTCTAATCTCTAGCAACCACTTATCTGTTTTCATCTCTGTTAACCTACTTCTAAGTAAGAAAATGTTATAGAATCTTTGTCTATTTTTAGCCTGTGCCAGCTATGTGAAGACTAGGACATCAAAAGATCTATTTTCTAATTTAATCCTCTAACACATTTTTTAAAACTAATTTCAGCAATCCTATCAGTTTTAACATAATATTTTTGTCTTTTCTTCCCTGAAACGAGGTCAAGGCAAAATCCACCAAATCTAATGCACAAGGAGTTTGATAAGCTTAATTCGATAAATGACTGCTAAATGCAAAATGCTTCATAAGCATTTATTTAATTACTAGAATTAATTTGATCTTATTTATGTCTGTAGGCTGTGTATATAGATCTGGAACTAAATATGCAATTATGTGATAAGTATTAGATTGCTGGGGACATAGGGAGCAACGAAGGAAATAGGACACATTTTAAGGTCTTAAAAATATGTACTGAGTTTCTTGTCTATTTCTGTAGTTTACAATAGGAATATAAATGTCCGACAGAAAAACCACAATTCTGACCTTGGTACTTGAAAAGGTGAGGTCCAAATAAAACTATTTTTTTGCTGTCTGAATACTATCATTATCTTTAATGAGAGTGGGCATCACAAGGACATTTCAAATTGTACCTCAGGCAATAAATTAGCTGCCAGAACTAGATGCAGACTATTTTCCTTAAATATAAAAACACTGATCCATCTACTTTGTTCAGCTATATTATATAGCTGTTCACATTAATATAAAAAACTCTTCTAAAGAGTCTTCGTATGTCCATGATTGTCCTTTCATCGAAGAACATGCATCTTTTTGTGCTTGTAATTCTAGACCTTCAAATACAGTACTAGCAATTGCTTGTTGCTGTTTTTGATGGGGACACATCTTCCCACTGCTAGGACTTTTTTTGTTGTGCTTTCTCGCTCTCTTCTTCCCAAAGAGAAATGTGATGGTTCTCCTTCAGATGAGCACCGACTAATTGAGAACTTGTATAAAGCATATAGAGTCATTTCATATACAATTTTGTATAAGTCTCTGACTAGAGTTCTGGTAGGCATTTTAGAGAACTAAGACATTGCCATAGTCTCTCTCTCAGTCTAGTTTCATTGAGCCTTCAGAAACAGTGGGACCATTAAACTAATAATAGTCATTAAATGTTTACTTTTTAAATTTGGAGAAAGACATCCCTGCATGCTAAGTATTTATGGTCTAGCAGGGGAGACAGAAAGTGAATCTGAAGATTGTTGAACACAAAGGAAAATAAGACAGAGTTAAGTGATACGAGCCCATGCTCCATGCACACAGAGAAGGTGTCTCTTTTACCTCCTCAGACAGGTGAATAACCTTACATAATTATGCAAAATAGTCACATAGTTCCTAAGAAAACAAATGAAGCAGACATATTCAAATATACCATGTTTCTATCCCATTCTTTCTGACTTTTCTCCCACTTCTTACACATCACTTTTTAAAAGGCTATTGTTTTGAAAATATAAATAAATGCATATTATATATAGTGTTTTCCACTTTGATTGTCTCAAAACCTTACATCCTAGAGCTGATGTTGTAATATTATATGCAGACAGACTTTATTCATTTTCAAAACTGAACTGTATTTACTGTGTGCAACATAGTTTATTCCTAAACTGGTGAACATCTGGGAAGATTCCTCTCTTTTGCTAATACAAGTGGTGATGTAAAAAAATCTTTATGAACACATCATAGCTTAGTTCGGGCTGCTGTGGCAAAAGACCATAGACTGGGTGACCTAAACAGCAAGACATTGATTTCTCACAGTTTCAGAGCTTGGGAAATCCAAGGTCATATCTTCAGTTGACTTGGTTTCTAATAAGCCCGCTCTTCCTGGCTGGCAGATGGCCATCTTCTCTCTGCATCTTCACATGGCAGTGAGAGGAAGCACTGGTGTTTCTCTCCCTTATAGAAAAGGTGGTGTTTTTTCCCTCCCTCCCTCCCTCTCTGCCTGCTTCCATTTCTGCCTTCCCACCTCCCTCCTCTCTCAGAACTCTGATATCATAAATAGTGTCCTTTGTTAATATCTTCTGATTAATGTTGTGTATATGAAAGCTAATGGTTTCCACATGTGAATGTTATAATTGTTAGTTTTGTTTCTTGATACTTTTTATATTGGTTCCTTTAGTATTTCCAGATACAAGATCTGATTGACTATAGGAAGAGATAGTATTACTTCTTCCTTTTTGAGTTTGAAGGCCTTTAAAAGTTTTCTCATCAAATTCCTATAGCTGAAGCTCTTAGTACAATGTGAAACTTAAGTCAAACTAGTGAACTTTTTTTTTTGTTTTGTTTTGGGGGAACTTAGTGGGAAATAATAGGATTTTTCATCAATAATTTTTAAATGAGTGGAGGCAAACATATACTTTTCTCCATATTCCTGTAACTTTCACACACACACACACACACTCACTCACATTTCCTACCATAGAGTCACTCTTGCATTTTTGGATTAAGACCCCCTCTGCCATTATGTCCTTTTAAAATATGCTGTTGGGTTCTATCTGCTGATATTTTTGGTAAAAAGTTTGATATTTACAAGTCAGTATATAGTTTGAGTTTTTTGAAGTTATCATTGTTAAGTTTAGGGATTATTTTTTGTATTTACTTCACATAATGCATTTCCATGATTTCTTTCTTTCCTGGTGAGTTAGGGAAGTATAAGTAGCATTAGTATGATCTGTTTTAAAAAATTTATTTTGAGAAAGCACATGATTTGGCCATTTTTTTCTAGGAGAGTTCTTCAAATACTTTTTCTCTTTCTTTTATAGGAATTGGTCTTTTAAATTGTTTTATCTGTAGTTGGGTTGGTCTTGGTAAAATTAAGCCTCTGAGTTACTTAAGATCTAGAAACATGTCCTTTTGTTTAGTTTTCTGAGAACCTAGCTTAGAGTTCCTGGAAAATTATCTAAGTTCTCAATAAATGGAGTTTATTCCCAAGTATGAGTACTTGTTTTCAGTGTGCATGAAGAAACAAACTAGCAGCATATTGTACTTCCTGGGAGACTTAGTAGATTGAACATATGTGTTTACCTTCACTTTCTTCCGAAATGACATAAACAATAGTAAATATTTTTGTAAATGACAGTCAGTGGCTGATCCAAAAAGCACCATGACCCTCACTTTTGCCAAACCTTCCATGATGGCAATGGGCTGATGATCCCGAGAGATGTGCCTGGCCAGAGGTCCAGGTAGCTGGAGGAGAGAACCTCTATGAAGCAGAAGCTGTCTGGGATCCCAGGTTAACAACTTAAGTCAGAAGATGCGTGACAACACATAGGCGCTACAGTGGAATCTCACAACCTACACTGACTTAACAAGTATAAAAAGAATGCATGTGCCACATCACTGCCACGTCCAGATCTCATGCAAAATGTCTGTCTGAATCATTGACTCCAGTAAGACTATGAACAAAGACCTAATGACACTAGTGTGAGGATTTTTTACAAAGTAGTCCAGCCAGGTAATCCTATAGTGGAGTCCTTAGAGATCAATCCACCAAAGGCATTTGCTAAATGATCAATCAGTATTTTAGAGACACTGTTAAATATGAGAAAAGTATAAGTGACATCTTAGAAAAGAGTCTAACAAGAAAGATTAGAGATTGAAACAAAATGCAAAACAAGTAAACTAATTAAGTACACACACAAAAAATATTTGGAAAAGTCTATATAGAGGTAAGGAAATATCAGGAAATTATTTTATCATTAATATTCTCAGAAATAGGGGCCTCCCTGGTGGCACAAGGGGTTGAGCACAGCACCGTAAAGCTATCCACAACCTCTGCAGCAGGAGTTCGATCCCCAGCTGGCCAGGGAGCTACCCACATGGCACAGCAGACCTCTCCTGTCTCACCCGCTGCTCCCCTCTGCTGTGTATTTCAGTCAGTCTGCCTGTTCTGCTCCCCACTCTGTCTCTGGTGAATCCTCTCACTCCCCACACCTCTGGCCTGTACCCCAGTTCTTGTATGCATAAATAAATAAATCTTTAAAAATATTCTCAGATATGTTAGATATTTTACATCAGCTAATCAAAAATTGCATACAATTGGGCCTCCCCGGTGGCGCAGTGGTTGAGCGCTGGGTTGCAGGGCTTCCCGCAGCCTCTGCAGCACCGGTTCGATCCCCGGCTGCTCCCCAGCCACCAGAGGAGGGTCCCACATGGCGTGTGGACCTCTTCTGCCGCCCGCTGCTCCCCTCAGCAGTGTGCTTCGGTCCTTCTGCCTGCTCTGCTCCCCGCTCTGGCTCTGGTGAATTCTCTCACCCTCCCGTGCTTCTGACTGTACCCAGTGCTTGTATAAATAAATAAATAAATAAATCTTTAAAAAAGAAAGGAAAAAAAATTGCATACAATTAAAGGAAAAGTATTCAGAAGAAAAATTACTCTGGCAAATTTAAAATTCTGCAACTGAAATAGCTGCAGATTGGAGATAACTCAAATGTCCTTGAATTAATTGATGTTAAAACACTGTTATATTCATATGATGGAATTCTATTTAGCAACTGAACAAGAGTAGACTATCGATACACAAAACAACCTGAAGGGAAATAAGCCATGTTTAAAAGGGAATGTCCAGCATGACAGTGAAGGGGATCTGGGGAGACAGCTGTGCACCTTACCTCTCACACCTGGGGGGTTCAGTGTACAGTGGAAAGCACATTGGCTGTATTGCAGCCAGTAATTTTCAGATCACTTTATCGAAGAACTTGACAGTCATGGGACACCTGAAATGCCTAATTATGAAATAAAATATTTATTAAAGACATTTCAAACACACAGTAGAAGATAAACTAATACATTTCTCCCCCATGTGCCCTTCCCTTGGGGCCAACATTTATCAATATATTGTCTTTTTTGTTGACTCTCCTCTTCCTTTTATGTGGCAGTTTAAAAACAACTTATGAACTTTTATTTCACTATAGGTATCTTAGTATCAGCTAAGATATTATTTCACTACAGGTATCAGCTTTCAAAAGGAATGTTTTCTCTTTTAAACTATAACCATAGTATTATAATCATGCCCAGCTAAAATAAAAAAATACTTTTTATATATCATCTGATACTAAATTTGATTTTAATTTTTCTGGTTGTCTTATAAGACTTTTTTTGATTTGTTTGAATCAGGATAAAAAAATGGCCTATATATAACATTTTATTTATAAGTCTTCTGAATCCCCATGCCATTTTGCCATTAGTTTGTTGAAGAAACTGTCATATCCTAGATTCAATTAATTATATTCTTCTATTGTTTTAGTTATCTCTTCCTGTAAATGAGTGCTTGTATTTCAGGGCTAGATTAGGTTCAGCTTGAGTTTTGTGTCAGGTGGTGTTATGTATTTCTTAGTCTGTCAGTATATTGTATATATTTAAATACATAAATGCAGTCATTATTCTTTTGCTGCCCAAATTGTTCCATCAAATTGAGTCCTGTGTTGTTTTGGTATTTTATATTTCATCTTTCAAGGAAAAAAAATTAGTTTCTTTTGTCAATAAAATAAGTTATTAATTCCTTCTTATAATAGGTGCATAATAGTTTAATAAATCAATAGAGATATCATTTGACAATAAAGTTGTTTCATGTATTTTAAGAATTTTGCATGGCTATGTTTTTATTTTCTTAGTAGGTATGATTTATTGCATCCTACTAGTCAAATTATTGTTTTAAATTCAACTATGCTTAAATCTGTTGCTTTATAATAAAATTAAAGTATTCTTATTGATCACTGCTGGAAGATGTATTAGGAAATCACTTCAGTATTTTGAAACTGATGAATTAGGCCTACCTGGTGGCCTAGGGGTTAAGTGTCAGCTCTATCACCACTATGGCCTGAGTTTGATTCTTGGCCAGGGAGCAACCCACATGGCACAGCAGACCTCTCCTGTCACTCCTGCTGCTCCCCTCAGCAGTGTATCTCGGTAAATTCTCCTGTTCTGCTTCCCACTCTGTCTCTGGTGAATTCTCTCACCCCTCGCTCCCTCAGACACAACTATGGCCTGTATCCCAGCTCTTCCACACACACAAAAAATAAAATCTTAAAAAAAAGAAACTGATGAATTCAAGGGGAAACATGACACATTCATCTTTTCCCATTTAATCTCTGTAGTTTAGGGAAACCAAATAGTTAAAAATACTCCATTTTATAAGGTATGACTAAATACATTTAAAGGAAATGATATAAATCGATTAATCACTGACCAATTGATTTTCATTTTTGGACAAATTCCTTTTTATATTTTATGTCTTCATTTGCAGAATTCATATATAAGAATGTGTATCACCAGTCTTTTCCCTCAGAGTTCTCCCGGTAATTAAACCAAAGTTTAAGGAGAAAGTGTACTAGGAATAGTCACCCCGATATACAAAACCAGACAGTTTGATTCCTGCATTCATGTTCTCAACTGCTATGAAAGCTCTCATGTGCTGCCTGGGAGGTAGTCACCTGGCGTCAGACAGCTGCAAGTCCTTCCAAATAATTCTCACTTTGGGAGTGTGGCAATAATTGGAGAGGAGGCAACACCTACAAGAACTGGTGTCACATGGGTGACACACACCCAGGTGTGTTGTTAGCTTTGAACAAGTAGAATTAGCTCTATGTTATGGTCAGTATGGAGGGTGTTCCCTGTGATCTTCCTGCTTCAGAGACCGTAGGACTGGTAGAGAGTTCCATGCGTACAAGGATAACCTTGAATTCACCCTAATTTATAACAAGTCAAATCCTCTCAAGCTTTATACTGTTACGATAATGGATTATTTGAGGTGCCTCTCACACTTGCTCATGACAAACTGCAAGTTCATATTCCTGGGATGGGGCATTAGTCACCAGGGACATGTTGGTTAAGGTGAGGATCTTGGAAACTGCTGGAGCCACTGAAGTGTTTTAAACATGGGCAGATGACATGTTTGGCTGTGTCCTTGCTGCTTTGAGCTACAGCATCTTGTCTGAGGCCCCCAAGAGCAATCTGCATTTTCATGCATCGACAGCAGATGCCTCCTTTACATGCCACTGAGTCCATGCGTGTTGATTCAATGAGATTTAATATTTCTCAACCTATTGATTGGTCAGAGTGCCCTACCTCCGATCACCTATGCTTGCCTCTCTGAGTACATAAAGACCTTTCTGGCTGCAGTTAGACTGTCAACTTTCAGAGGCACAGGATGATTTCCTCCTCCGTGGTCTATCATCTGGTGGCACCTATAGCTGTTAACACAAATAGGAACACACTAAATGCATGCCACATCAAAAGGGACTAAACATGATTGGTATCTACTAAACGATGCCTGTTGAGATGAATTCAGGGCATAGAGAAATGAGATGATATCATTTTACTTTTTTTACTAAAATAAAAAGCTTGGCTAAATAATTAGCTCAGTTTTTCATTCATTAATCAGACATTTGTTGAACTCCTGAGTATGACATTACTAGATGCTGGACACAAGATCACACACGAGCACACCTACAGGTTCTGTGACCTTCAGGGGAATAAGGAATGGCTTGGTGATCCCAGCTCAATACTTGGTGTGAGCAGATAGGAGGACTTATAGTCAGTGTGGACAAAGGTCCTATTAGAAATATGGGCATACTTTTGAAGGATGTAACTGCTAAAGTGAGTTTAGCAGAATGGTTAAGTTAGCATGAATGGAGGATATGACACTATCAAGTGTTAAGACTCTGGTTTATTAGGTCGGTGGTGAGGGGTAGAAACTATGAGAAAAGGGGAAAATAATCAACATTGAAAATGAATATAAGCAGGGCATTCTTCAAAGGGATATGCAGAAACAAGCAAAGTTTCTTCTCTGCTGCCTTTGTGTCTTTTCAGCCCTCTATGAACAATCCTGCGAGGTGTACAGGCACCAAGGGAACACAGCTGGCTACTTCTACATTGACTCGGATGGCAGTGGGCCCCTGGGGCCTCTCCAAGTGTACTGCAATATAACAGGTAAGTGTGTGACACTCTCGCTCACACTCAACCTAGCCTCATACTGTGCTGCTGCACAGCAAAGGGAAACCCACTGGAAGGGTACACTTATGTAAGTAAAGATATAAAGGACCATCTTCTGGGAGGAAATGTTATTTTGGTAAAAATAGGAATTAGCAGTTAGTCTATTTTCATTAAGGAAGAAAATTTGTTAATGGCCTTGACAGTGTTCCTCCAAGCCAAGAATTAATTATCAAGTGTTTTCTGTAGGGCTTGCCAAGGACATTTTTCTCTCTTAAAACTCAAAAACAGAAAGTAAAGGGAAAAACAAATAACCAAAAACTAGAAACTCAAAATCAATAGGAATCCCTGACTTGGGAAGTGAGAAAGCCTGATTCCTATCTGCTCTTGAGGTCTGTGTGGATCCCAGTATCTCTCTATTTGTCAGTGAAATGGGAAGAGTAGTTACTGCTTCCTCATTTTGCACAGATTAGACACAATCATAGATGTTTGAATAACTGGTCAAGCCTAACAAATAAAGTGAGCTGTTTCCATTTTCCCTGGCAATTTTATAATATCTTTCCACTTCTTTATCAAGTATAGAGCATGGTGAGAATCAATTATTACATGGGCTTAAGAAAAGGACATAATTACTGATTACTGCAAAATAATTCCACAAAGCCCAAAAACTGACATAATTGTTATTTAAAAGTAGGGCAGTACAAACATTCCTTCCATTATAAGGGTCATTAATTGGCATGCGTCTGTATTTGTTTCAAGCATTGGCCTTTGGAGTGCCAGGAAAACCATGTAATGAAGCAGAAAAGTAGGGACCTACTAAGGTTTAGTGAGTCCTCGGGCCCTAGACTTCTCTGGGGCAAGACAATTGCATTTATGGAGTTCTTTCTGTTCCAGACACTGAAAGGATGCAGAAAAAATAAGATAGGATCACTATCATTCATTAGAAGTAAAATCAGGGATATGACCATCAAATATCACAGGCAGGAAGGCAGACAAACTACTGTAGTGATGCCAATGAACAACTCTTAACAATTTGCCCATCTGAATATGTGACAATTTTCCTCCAGGAAGTGCAAGTTATATGGGATTGGATTTCACTCTATTTCCATAATATTTCACCTCTCCAAAATGGATGTATGTGAGCTGTTATTCACTAGTCTTATAACATAGTGAGAAATTGTATTACTTTCTTCTTTTCATGGTTGTGATAACTTACATTGTTGAACAACTTGGTCTAGAACTAGACTTCTTATTGGATCTTGGTTATTTTAAAAATATAATTAGCATATGGATCTCTGGGATTTCTTGTTAAAAACAGACTTCCCAGGCCCAGAAATTCTAACTTAGTAAATGTACTTTCCTGTGCTCTGCAAGTGATTTTGATATAATTTGGTCCTGGTTCACACTTTATCAAGAAATGGAAGAAATGATGTGGCTGCAGAATAAGGTAAAGGAGGTCAGTGCCTTCTGAGGAGTAAGTAAGTGTGAAGGGTAATCATAGGAGTGGTGGTAATGAGTTGGGTATCAATTACTCAACACCTACCAACTGTTGGAACTGAACTGAGATGTTACAAAAAAAAAATCTCTCTTTTAATCCTCACAAGATCTGAGGTACACATTTTTATCTCCATTTTACATAGAAGGAAAGAGAATATGAGTATTTCATGATTTGCCGGAGGTAATAAATATCAGGACTAATAGTCAAGATTCAGGAAGCAAACAAACCTACATACAGTGATACTCTATATCAATAAAACATTAATTTGATACTCTGTACTGCTTATGTTTTGCTTTAAATAGTATTTTTTTTTATTTTTCACATAAAAGTAATTAATGCTATTAGAGAAAAATTGAGAAAAATATGTATGAAGGAAATGTTAAAATCCCCTCTAGATCACAATTCAGAGTTTGCAATTGCTATTTTATTATTAGAATTTTGGGGACTTTTTCCCTGTGAATTATATGTGTGCTTTTTTCATGTATGCGTATTTTTTAAATATATGGTTTTAATCATGATTTTTAATGTCTATTGCTAACATAGACTTGCCCTTACATCTTTAAAAATCTCTTGAAATTAAAATATCTATCTCTATGTATATATGGAGATATATATTAACTGTTGCTTAACATTTTTTAATTCTGCAAAGCAATGTAAGAACATGGACAGAGAGGATATGATTAATTCATGGGGCTCATTTACTTGGAGCACTCTGCTTCTGTTTAGAAAGACTTCACTCAGGGTTTATGACTGAAGATGAATGTTTACTTGGTTTTAAAGGTTGCTGTTTTGCTGATGTTATCCTGAAGGAATAAGGGCTTCTGAATTGTGTTCCAGAGTTGATGGGCTTGATTGAGTGTGATTGGGCATTTCCTTTAAATTTGATGTTTTTGTCAAATGCAGTAACAAAAATAAAGGTCTTTTTGCTTGGTTGTTTTGTAAAATCCAATAGAAATAAAAGCAAGCTTCTGTATGCACTGAATTATATAATTCTCATTGAACTGGCAAACATTTTAAAATACATTAACATGATGTTATCAAATACTTTCCTCATTGCAAATACTATATGTTCTTAAGTGTTAGTGACTTAGGACACTTAGTAAAAGTGCTTTTGGGGAAAGTGTCCAGGAAGAAGGATGAGGGGACAGGGAAGGGAGAGGAGTAGACAAAGGGAAGGGGAGGGAGAAGAGAGAAGAGGAAGTCTCCTTCTCAGATGAGCACTATTTCTGAAAACAAAGTTGCTGTTCTCTGTGCATGTCAATGACTTGGGTAAAACACAGATTGTAAATGGCGCCGGGAGGAGGGGGCCTGGGTTCTGTTTTGCACCTTTTGCCAGAAAGCTGAGCTTTCTTGGCCTAGTTGCATGTCTCTAATATAAGGATCTGGGGCCAAGATCTCACATCCCTTCCTCATTTAGAATTCCCTGAGAGATCATTTCAGGTTCAACAGAAACAGGGAAGTTTCTCCTACGAAGTCTATAGAAAACGTGCAAATGGGTATCACGAGGGTGAAGAAGGACAGGTTTGAGTTGTGAAAAACAGTACCTTTGAATCCTCACTGCATCCTTCTTGCACTGTACTCTTGGGGAATATTAGCTTCCTTTTCTTGATTGAAGTCTGAGCCTCTCACCAATCACAGCCTCCCAGCCGTGAGATCCCAAACACCAAAACAGCAATGTCCCCATCCTCCGAAGGTGGCGTGACCTCTGCCTAAACAGCTAGGCCAACTGGGTGTTAGGTTTGCTGATGAAGTGGACTGAATCAAGGACCCAGCAAACTTGCAGCACTATGTAAAAATGTATCCACAACTGTGAGTGGGCATGTGTGTGGAGCAAGGAAAGCTCTAGTGTTTGGAAGAAGGGCTAAGTGATGAATAAGGAAGTTAAAGGGTAAGCTTTTGCAGGAATACACATTTGGGCTGTTTTCACCATCTCTAGAAATGATTTACAATTCAATACAGTGCAATATAAGTGCACTCAATACGAGTGTGAACATTGCAGGTACTGTGCTAGCTGCTAGGGATGCAAAATTGTTTCTTGCGTTAGTTTCTTAAGATTGCTGGAACAAAGTAACACAAAGTGGGTGGCTTAAAACAAAGAAAATCCAAACAAATGAAAAATAGAAGTATACTGCCTCACAGTTGTAGAGACTAGAAGTCCAAAGCAAAAGTCACCCCCTTGGGAAACCTAAAGGGGGTGATCTTTCCTTGCCTCTTCCAAGCATCTGGTAGGTGTCCTATTCCTTGAATATCTCCAGGCCCATGACAACTTTAATCTCTGCCTCCCAGAGATTGTCACCCCGCTTCCCTGTGACATGTGATGTCATCCTCAATATGTCTGTTTATTCTCTTCTTATGAGGACGCCAGTCATGTTGGCTTAGGACTCACCATAATGGAATATGACCTTATCTTAACTCTTACATTTGCAAATAATTTGTTTCCGATTAAGGCCACATTTATATGTACTAAGGGTTAGGATTTTACATACCTTTTCTGGGCACAGTTTATAACTTCTAAAGATACTTTTCATTCTTCTTCACAGGCTAATCATGGAGAAGACCTAGAAACAGTTAAAATATATGAGCAAAGACAGGGTATGTATAGTTAGTGTTTGTTGGGACCCGCAGGAAGGGGACCTAACTCAGCCTGTCATGGAGTGTGAGGGTTAAGGAGCAAGCAGACATCATCTCTAAGATTGAGATGGAGATTAAGAGCTGGCCAGCAGAGGCAAATAAAAGCATTTTCAGGAAAAACTAATGACTATCAGAAGCAAAATTCTAGGGTCGTTGAACCTGCATATTTGTGGGAACTACCAATATGACTGACTTGTTTCCAACACTAAAAAAACTCATAGAACTGAATGAATAGATAAGGTTGAAATTGACTTGAATAGGGGCAAGCAAAAGTTGTTGAATTCCCATAATCTGAATTATAGCTTCCTAATAAAAAAGTCTGCTATTTCTCAGTCCCAGGGAAAAGAATAAATACTTTTAGCACATATAATTCTTGAGCATGCCTAACTGTTTAGCTGTCCCTGTATAAGTGATGAGTATATGGACATCAGCAACACATGGGCGTTAACTCATACATGGACTCATATCACACATGGAAGTTAACAGCTGCTCTCCTTTCTGAGGGCAATGGCTATGTCATAATGGCTGACTCATACTAGAGACAGGTTGCAAAGATATGATAGCCAATAAGATGCTGTGAAAAGCCACACACAGAGCTGGTAACAGAGGTGTCATTCCTACCAGCAGGCCCTTGGGGATGAGAGTGTTGATGGTATAAGAAGGAGGGCACCCTGAGAGAGACTGTGCCTTGACGGATCTGCAGTCCCCTGACTTCTGGGAAGGAATCAGGTCAATGAAGCCCCAGGAGAGGAACGTGATGACTGACTGACTTCAATCTCCCCTTGTTTCCTCCAGTCTCCTTCCTATGTCTCTGTTGAGGAAACTCACCTGGAGTTCAGAAAGCAACAATACTTACTGATGTAATGTGTTTAGTTAGCATTCTAGAGCACAGAGATGGCTGCAGAAGGTTGGCCAGTGCATCTAGTGGGACAAATGGAAGATATCCATGTTTCTTGTTTAAATCTTCCCAAAGAATCGGGGGAAAGGATTAAAATTCATCAGTGGTCATGGGTTATGTGGAGATGGTGTTACAACTGAAATCCACAACCCATGCAAAAATAGTATGCGCACTCTTATTCAATAGCTTGTAACCAGAACCAAAAGTACTCCCCCGTTGTAGTTTAAATGGAAGTAAACTTGAGAACAAGGCTGAATAAAAGACTTGGAGAGCTGACTGATTCAAAAAGTTGATAAGGCACTCAATATATGAATAATCAAGGGACGAATAATCAAGAAAACCCATGATATACTAAAATGTAATGCTTTGTAAGAGATTTGCTGAGAAAAAAATCTCCTGATCTAGACATGGCCAATTTCAGTCAATAATGTGAAGTTTGTGTTCATCCTTGTTCATGTCAACCTAATTGAACATGTCAGGAGGAATGCATTTGAAATAACAGGAATCCAGCAGGGACTTGGGATTGTTTTGTTGGATGAAAATGCCTGTAAGGTGGGTTTACAGGATGGGTTAGATGCTGTCAGGAAATGAGGGAGTTCTGGGCACAGGGATAGATACACAGGGACAGACAGAAATGGAGAAAAGCAGAGCACCGTAAGTAGCTGATGCTAGCAAACACCTCAGGTATCTACTTGGGGAGGGTCAGGGATATAAGACGGAAGGATAAGGCTCCCCAGTTGATTCTCAATTTGCTTGATATGATGGTTAATTTATTTTTCAACATGGTTGAACCAAGTACCTGGATGTTTGGTGAAATGTTGCTCTTAATATTTCTGTAAGAGTGTTATTGAGGGCCTCCCCGGTGGTGCAGCGGAGCGCTGGGTTGCAAAATTGCCAGCAGCTTCTACAGCCGGTTCGATCCCCAGCTGCTCCCCGGCCACCGGTGGAGGGTCCCATATGGCGCACAGACCTATCCTGCCGCCTGTGGCTCCCCTCAGCAGTGTACTTCGTCACTGTACCTGCTCTGCTCCCTGCTCTCGCTGTGGTGAATTCTCTCACCCTCCTGCGCTTCTGACTGTACCCAGTGCTTGTATAAATAAATAAATAAATCTTAAAAAAAAAAAAACAGCAAAACTTGCAGTTCTCAAAAAAAAAAAAAAAAGAGTGTTATTGAGTTGAGAATAACTTTAAATCAGTGGATATTGAGTAAAGAGATTTTCCTCAAAAATATGGGTGCATCTCATTCAATCAGCTCAAAGTCATAAATAGAACAAAGACAGTCCTTCGCTGTGCAAGAAGAAATCCTGTCAGCAGAAGGTCTTTGGCTCAAATGGCAGCTCTGTATTCTCTTTCCAGCCTGATGACTACTCTGCAGATAAAGCCTTCACAATGATAGGAGCCATTTTCTTTTTCTTTTTTATTTATTTATGCATACAAGATCTGGGGTATAGACCAGAGGTGTGGGGACATGAGAGGATTCACCAGAGACAGAGTGGGGATCAAAACAGGAGAGGCCTGCCGCTCTGTGTGGGTTATCTCCACAGCCGAGATTGATCTCATGCTGCAGTGGCTACCAGTAGCTTCATAGTGCTGAAACTTAACCCCTTGTGCCACCAGAGGGGCCTCAGGAGCCATTTTCTTAAACTCTGTAATCAAATAGGTAGGTAGCTAGGTAGGTAGGTAAGTAGATAGATAGATAGATAGATAGATAGATAGATAGATAGATAGATAGATAGATTTTAAAGTCAGTGAACTTTTCTAGATCTTGGTTTCCTAATCAGTAAAATGGAGATAGAAAATTAAAAATGGTTGCCTTCCAAGATTAACATGAAGATTAGTTTCTAGACCCCAAAAGTCAACGCTTATGGAATAAGATAGGTGAATATTGAATATCATGGTGCAATTACTAATTGTACTCTCACTTACACTGCTTTCAGAGCATAGATGATATCTAGATAGTAGTTATCCTACCCGTTAAGATATCTCTCTTCTTGCCAGCAATAAAGTCTTTGTTCCTTTTATAGGTGCCATGAGACTTCAGATTCTACTAGTCTGAAGGGAGCATTTCTGAGGGAAAGCTTGCAGTGTTAGAAAAGCAAAATTAGAAGGGTGAGGCATTCTGACAAGATTTTCCTTAGAACTTGACATTTAAGCTCATTCTACTCAGTTTACATTTTGCCATTTTTAATGTTAACAGGACATCTTGTCAACATGTTAAAAGATGTTTCCCAGCCACACACAGTTTTCCCTCCATACAGTATAATTGCATATTGATATGCAAAATTGTTTGTCTAAAACTGCTAACAAAAGACGTGTTTATTTCCTATCTTGATGGATATGATGCCAATTTCATGCTTATAGACCTGTACAGCAATCATCAGGCATTGCAAGGAGTTTGCAAGAAATGTTCAGTCAAATCTCTAAAGCAAAACTTGTTTCCCATTCTCAAACAGCTCATAATCCATTTGCAAATCACCTTACAAGTCTCCATATCTTATCACTTTCCCTATTATGATGCTCTGTTTCTCACTCCTTTGCCAGCAGACTCAGTTTTCATTAAAACTCATCAAAGCATACATAATGGAGTAGGTGGAGAAGCTGCAATTGAAGTCTTTCTGATATTCCTGCACATAATTGTGCAGTGTGATTTCAGGTAATAGATTATTATTATGCAAACTATTGACAGAAAGAAATGTGTCCATTCTTTTAGGTCTAAAAATTTGTTGCCTTGCTTCCCAAACTTAGGTCAATGTCGGTGAGATTTCAGTTTATTTATGGACTGCACAAGAGTCTGTCACTGAAGAGGAAGGATTCCCTGACATGGCATATGGCCACTAACTTAAGACACACTGATTTTTCCTTGAGCTTCTTAGTATGTTGCTAATTTTTGGTAGCTCTATTTTATACCAAAGAGAAGTGGAATTCAGTTACTGGTATCATGTACATCTGTAATAAAGTTCTGTCCTGATAGCTCCTATTGACCTCTCATCAGTGATTTCTAACCCCAGACACTATAGTTCCAACACACACACACACACACACACACACACATTCCAAAAGGCAGTGTTACCTTCCATTGCTCTGCCAAAGTCTTCTATAAAAACAAACTGGGCTCAAGTTCTCAAGTTTGCTTTATACTATTTATTGGGTACCCAATAGTGCAGAAATTCTGTTGCCCCCAAATAAAGACTTT